ACCAAGCAAAACAGGGGAACCTAGCCAAGGGCTTGTTGATCTCATCTGCGCAGGAAGCAAACCATGGGTAGTCATGGTGAATCCGCCATGATGCAGGCACCAGGGCGAGCGAAATGATCGCCAGCATCAAACATCGGTCCAGAAATTCGCCGCCTTTGAAATCCAAAGCCAGCTGGTAGATGGCAAAGTTCACAGTAAACCTGTGGAGTGCAGAGCACAGCTTGGCAATTTGGGGATGTGTCAAAGTAGGGGGACCGCATAGTGGTGGTTATTTTTTTGGTTTCGCTTCAAACCAGCCTGAAAGGGGACCCTCACAAAGACGAGGTGGATAGCAGTTGTGAGTATTGCCCCCCCCCATTACTCGCAGAATCCCAGTACTTAACGTAGTATTTCCAATGTGAAACGTAGTATGGCCAAGACATGCACTCACAGTCCCACCGCCCCAGAAAAAGTTGGACATGAAAGGAAACCATGAAGCAGTCAAACTAACCAGAATCAGGCCCTCTCGTGGGCAACCCCTTTTCCGCGACTGGTTGGCCTCACTTTTGTCAAAGGAAGTTTAACAAGAAACTTCCGTAGTACTGGAACTAAATGAGCTAGCTGCTTTGACATATAGCTATGACAGGTAGCTAGCATGACAAATAGATAGCTTTGACATATAGCTAGCTTGACAGATAGATAGCTTTCCAATAGGCTTGCATGACAAATAGATAGCTTTGACATATAGCTAGCTTGACAGATAGATAGCTTTCCAATAGGCTTGCGTGACAAATAGATAGCTTTGACATATAGCTAGCTTGACAGATAGATAGCTTTCCAATAGGCTTGCATGACAAAAAGATAGCTTTGACATGACAAATAGATAGCTTTGACATATAGCTAGCTTGACAGATAGATAGCTTTCCAATAGGCTTGCATGACAGATAGATAGCTTTGACATATAGCCAGCTTAACACGTAGATAGCTTTCTCAAGTATAGATTTCGTGGCAGGCGCAGCACTTTCGCAAGCACTCTCTGCGAGCTGGGGGATGGCAAGATGCACAAAACGTTGGCGCTGTGCGTGAATTGGGCTTCCGGACAATGCGCAAACCACCTCGGCTGCGACGCCTGTACAGAGGCGGTCTCGGAACGGTCTCGGAGACGGGCCCATTGGCACGGCCGCGCGAAGGTTTCGCAAGGTTTGAATTGCGTGGCAGGCGCAGCACTTTCGCAAGGTCAAGTATAGATTTCGTGGCAGCCGCAGCACTTTCGCAAGGTCAAGTATCGATTTCGTGGCAGGCGCAGCACTTTCGCAAGGTGCTGCGTCCACTCTCTGCGAGCTGGGGGATGGCAAGATGCAGAAAACGTTGGCGCTGTGCGTGAATTGGGCTTCCGGACTGTGCGCAAACCACCTCGGCTGCGACGCCTGTACGGAGGCGGTCTCGGAACGGTCTCGGAACGGTCTCGGAACGGGTTCGGAGACGGGCCCATTGGCACGGCCGCGCGAAGGTTTCGCAAGGTTTGAATTGCGTGGCAGGCGCAGCACTTTCGCAAGGTCAAGTATAGATTTCGTGGCAGGCGCAGCACTTTCGCAAGGTCAAGTATCGATTTCGTGGCAGGCGCAGCACTTTCGCAAGCACTCTCTGCGAGCTGGGGGATGGCAAGATGCAGAAAACGTTGGCGCTGTGCGTGAATTGGGCTTCCGGACTGTGCGCAAACCACGGCTCGAACGGGTCTCGGAACGGTCTCGGAGACGGGCCCATTGGCACGGCCGCGCGAAGGTTTCGCAAGGTTTGAATTGCGTGGCAGGCGCAGCACTTTCGCAAGGTCAAGTATAGATTTCGTGGCAGGCGCAGCACTTTCGCAAGGTCAAGTATCGATTTCGTGGCAGGCGCAGCACTTTCGCAAGGTGCTGCGTCCACTCTCTGCGAGCTGGGGGATGGCAAGATGCAGAAAACGTTGGCGCTGTGCGTGAATTGGGCTTCCGGACTGTGCGCAAACCACCTCGGCTGCGACGCCTGTACGGAGGCGGTCTCGGAACGGTCTCGGAGACGGGCCCATTGGCACGGCCGCGCGAAGGTTTCGCAAGGTTTGAATTGCGTGGCAGGCGCAGCACTTTCGCAAGGTCAAGTATAGATTTCGTGGCAGGCGCAGCACTTTCGCAAGGTCAAGTATCGATTTCGTGGCAGGCGCAGCACTTTCGCAAGGTGCTGCGTCCACTCTCTGCGAGCTGGGGGATGGCAAGATGCAGAAAACGTTGGCGCTGTGCGTGAATTGGGCTTCCGGACTGTGCGCAAACCACCTCGGCTGCGACGCCTGTACGGAGGCGGTCTCGGAACGGTCTCGGAGACGGGCCCATTGGCACGGCCGCGCGAAGGTTTCGCAAGTTTTGAATTGCGTGGCAGGCGCAGCACTTTCGCAAGGTCAAGTATAGATTTCGTGCAGTCGCAAGTCAAGTATCGATTTCGTGGCAGCAGCACTTTCGCAAGGTCAAGCTATAGATTTGGCGCTGTGCAGGCGGCAGTGCGCGGCTTGTCGGCAACGGTCGTATCGCTTGTGGCAGGCGCAGCACTTTGGCAAGGTGCTGCGTCCACTCTCTGCGAGCTGGGGGATGGCAAGATGCAGAAAACGTTGGCGCTGTGCGTGAATTGGGCTTCCGGACTGTGCGCAAACCACCTCGGCTGCGACGCCTGTACGGAGGCGGTCTCGGAACGGTCTCGGAGACGGGCCCATTGGCACGGCCGCGCGAAGGTTTCGCAAGGTTTGAATTGCGTGGCAGGCGCAGCACTTTCGCAAGGTCAAGTATAGATTTCGTGGCAGGCGCAGCACTTTCGCAAGGTCAAGTATCGATTTCGTGGCAGGCGCAGCACTTTCGCAAGGTGCTGCGTCCACTCTCTGCGAGCTGGGGGATGGCAAGATGCAGAAAACGTTGGCGCTGTGCGTGAATTGGGCTTCCGGACTGTGCGCAAACCACCTCGGCTGCGACGCCTGTACGGAGGCGGTCTCGGAACGGTCTCGGAGACGGGCCCATTGGCACGGCCGCGCGAAGGTTTCGCAAGGTTTGAATTGCGTGGCAGGCGCAGCACTTTCGCAAGGTCAAGTATAGATTTCGTGGCAGGCGCAGCACTTTCGCAAGGTCAAGTATCGATTTCGTGGCAGGCGCAGCACTTTCGCAAGGTGCTGCGTCCACTCTCTGCGAGCTGGGGGATGGCAAGATGCAGAAAACGTTGGCGCTGTGCGTGAATTGGGCTTCCGGACTGTGCGCAAACCACCTCGGCTGCGACGCCTGTACGGAGGCGGTCTCGGAACGGTCTCGGAGACGGGCCCATTGGCACGGCCGCGCGAAGGTTTCGCAAGGTTTGAATTGCGTGGCAGGCGCAGCACTTTCGCAAGGTCAAGTATAGATTTCGTGGCAGGCGCAGCACTTTCGCAAGGTCAAGTATCGATTTCGTGGCAGGCGCAGCACTTTCGCAAGGTGCTGCGTCCACTCTCTGCGAGCTGGGGGATGGCAAGATGCAGAAAACGTTGGCGCTGTGCGTGAATTGGGCTTCCGGACTGTGCGCAAACCACCTCGGCTGCGACGCCTGTACGGAGGCGGTCTCGGAACGGTCTCGGAACGGTCTCGGAACGGTTCGGAACGGGTTCGGAGACGGGCCCATTGGCACGGCCGCGCGAAGGTTTCGCAAGGATTGAATTGCGTGGCAGGCGCAGCACTTTCGCAAGGTCAATTTCGTGGCAGGCGCAGCACTTTCGCAAGGTCAAGTGCCAAATTCGTGGCAGGCGCAGCACTTTCGCAAGGTCAAGTACAAAATTCGTGGCAGGCGCATCACTTTCGCAAGGTCAAGTACAGAATTTGTGGCAGGTGCAGCACTTTCGCAAGGTCAAGTGCAAAATTCGTGGCACGCGCAGCACTTTCGCAAGGTCAAGTACAGATTTTGTGGCAGGCGCAGCACTTTAGCAAGGTCAAGCACAGATTTGGTGGCAGGCGCAGCATTTTTGCAAGGTCAACTTTCGCAGCCGGGGCTCGAAAATCGCAACTTTTAAGTACGAAAGTAGTACGCGAAGTCAACTTTCGCAGCTGGGGCTTGAAAATCGCAACTTTTAAGTACGAAAGTAGTGCGCAAAGTCCACTTTCGCAGCCGGGGCTTGAAAATCGCAACTTTTAAGTACGAAAGTAGTACGCAAAGTCCACTTTCGCAGCTGGGGCTCGAAAATCGCGACTTTTTAGTACGAAAGTAGTACGCGAAGTCCACTTTCGTAGCTGGGGCTCGAAAATCGCAACTTTTAACTACGAAAGTAGTACGTGAAGTCCAGTTTCGCAGCTGGGGCTCGAAAATCGCAACTTTTAAGTACGAAAGTAGTACGCGAAGTCAACTTTCGGGGATTGAACATCGCAACTTTTAAGTGCAGAGAAAGATGGGTAGATAGATAGATCAATAAACAGATATAGAGATAGCTAGAGAAATAGATAGAAAGAGATAGAGAAACAGAGATAGACAGAGATAGATAGATTTGTAGATAGATAGACAAATAACTAGCTAGATAGATAAAGAGATAGAGAGATAAATAAATAGAGAGGTAGATAGATAGATAGGAGATAGAGAGGTAGATAGATAGGTAGATCTATAGATAAATCGCAACTTTTAAGTACGAAAGTAGTACGCGAAGTCAACTTTCGCAGCTGGGGCTTGAAAATCGCAACTTTTAAGTACGAAAGTAGTGCGCAAAGTCCACTTTCGCAGCCGGGGCTTGAAAATCGCAACTTTTAAGTACGAAAGTAGTACGCAAAGTCCACTTTCGCAGCTGGGGCTCGAAAATCGCGACTTTTTAGTACGAAAGTAGTACGCGAAGTCCACTTTCGTAGCTGGGGCTCGAAAATCGCAACTTTTAATTACGAAAGTAGTACGTGAAGTCCAGTTTCGCAGCTGGGGCTCGAAAATCGCAACTTTTAAGTACGAAAGTAGTACGCGAAGTCAACTTTCGGGGATTGAACATCGCAACTTTTAAGTGCAGAGAAAGATGGGTAGATAGATAGATCAATAAACAGATATAGAGATAGCTAGAGAGATAGATAGAAAGAGAGAGAAAGAGACAGAGAAACAGAAAGAGAAAGAGAAAGAGAGAAAGAGAGAAAGAGAGAAAGAGAGAAAAAGAGAGAGAGAGAGAAGCAAGGGGCCAAGGACAGTTCTCCAAACTATAGTTGCTCACTGCTTTGAAACTTCCGCCCCCCGGCTCTGCCGGACCTTACTTGTCTAAACAAAGTTACGTTAAATTTGATGCTTTGGCGACAACCTGCAGAAAAATATGTCTCAATGTTTGCCCGGAATTGTTGGCCCAGATTGCCCAATTTGTTGGCCCGTTGTTTTTCACGTTTCTGTTGCCCATATTTTTCCGGGAGACAAACTTTGTATTAAAGAGCGAACCTCGGAACAGTCACAGGTTTCTGAAATAGAAACAGCAACAGTTGCACACCAGCGATCCCAATTACACAAGCGGGTCCAACAATATCACAGAGCCACTCCAGAGCCTATCTGGACAAAGACCCAAAGCTTTTAGCCGTCGGGGGATCAGCGCCCACAATTTAGCAAAGCTCGCCACAAGGCTGCTTGAAGGCCTAGCAGCATACTTGTAATCAACAAACACTTCTCCGAGCGATTCCAGTTGGCTTTCTTGTAGGGCTTCGCTTGCATCTCCAGGACCGTCGCAACGATCAAGATCAAGCCTCGTTGGCCCCCTCCAACGAATCAAATTGTTTGATAGTTGCTCAAAAGCCAGCGGCTAAGGGAAAAAGGGCACCTTTTTTTTTATTGTGGATTGATTTAATCGAAGTACCTTCCCAACAAACCGAAACGAGAAACCAACCCACTGGAGGTCTGTGGCTAGCGAGAAGACACTCATTTAGGTTGGAAGATGCTAAAAGGTTAAGGTCGCATGAAAGAGCAACGAAGCAGCTAATGCAAAAGATCTCTGTCACTGGGTGCAAAGTGAGGGGGAAGACCGCGCACACGATGGCCAAAAGCGTCTTGCGCACCAAGCGCGTCACCTCCCACCACTTGAACTCATCCTGCGGTCTCAACTCTTGCAATTGCGTGAAAGTAGACGGCACACTTGCCCCATTTTGATTTAGTCACCCCCTTCACTTATAATATAGAGGGAAATTGCGCCAGGGTCTCAATGATTGTTCACTCTTCCGAGTGCGTGCGCTTTTACAACTTAACCTGCAGCCGGACATATGCCCCGGCGACATCTTGTGCTTAGCAAAGATCATAGTACTTTTGCAGAGAGTCCAATAGTCCCTTGCACTGTTTACCTTATCACTCGAATCAAGCCTGACATCCTGCAAAATGCTGTCAATATCTATCATGCCCATCACCAGGCGTAACCCCAGGCCCTGCAGCATGTGTGTATGTGTAAAAAAACAATAAAAACGCAAATAACTTGTGCTCGGAAAGCGCCCCAAGCATCCGTACATGAAGTTGCGGCCTACCAAGCAGAAGCGTCAGCATCATGATAGAGGGCATCGTTTCGTTCCACGATTTTACGCACGCGCAGCGTTGCACGCTTGATATTCGCAAACTGGCAAGTACTCCCATTGGTGGCAACCTGGCCCCAGGATGCCCCAAGTCACAATGGGTTGTTGAGACTGACACGTGCATCGTCAGTGTGCCCTTGTGACCCTTGTGTGATGTCAACCGCCCCACAAGACTGGTTCCAAGGGTCCCCCTGCCATTCAACAAACCTGCACGGTCTGCAATCTGCCTGCGATGCAGTCCTAAAGGACAACCCCCCTCCAAAATGCAGTTTTCCGCACCGTTCGTTCTGTCGTTCGCCCGCAGCTCCCGACACTATATATACATAGCACTACTCTTCACAAATTTGGGGCCATGACTGAACATGCTTGCCAAACACCGGCGAGGCTTCCCACAAATGGCAAGCGCCGTCTTGCACTCCTTGTACGCAGAGGTCAAGTAGAGGTAGTACCCAGTATCGATGTTCGACTTGTCATTGATCAGGCGCATCCAGAGCGCCGGTCCGGCAAAAGCCAGGGCAGCCACCTCAATCGACACTGATCGAGTGTCCATCGCTGCCAGGATATGCCTTACGGCCTTTTCTGTGCGATCCAGTGGTATTGACCCTGGGTAGGCTGGGCTGAGCGCTGATGGCATCTGCCCACTCCAATGGAAAGTAAAAAGGACAACTTGCCACAGTCCAAATTAGATGCCTATCCCGAAATCACATGGGATTGTGGTCTGTCGCCCACCATTTAGTACGGCCCACGCCATGATCCGGATACCAGCTAATAATGACAGTGAACTACGCAACTGGCAATACAAGCCCTAACTCAACAATAAATCAGGCTTCGGCGTAATTGGCGGACATGATTCGCCCCTAAGCGCTGCAGCTACTCACGGCGAAAACATCCAAATGCTCACAAGTCTTCGCAGATTCCTCCTCTTTGGACAAAAACACATACTCGCAGTCCAATTTGCAAATTACCACATCACCTTCTTCAGCCACCAAGAGATATCCCAACTGACTACTCATCTAGACTCTTCCTCTACAGCCATATTCAACACTCTGACATCTGCAACACGTTGAGCGCTGCGTTGCGCAATTTATTCTAAATCGCGACGGCAAGGAAGATACGGTTCAATCGTACAACCGATAGGCACACTGAGCCACCCTTCAATCGCACATGCAATGGTTTTCCGCCACAATATCTGAATCCTTTGTAAAGCCCCTCTGGCAGTTCATGGCAATAAGCGATGGTTAGAGCATGTCCGAGTCCAAGTGCTACTTGAGTGACGGACAAGAAACTACAACTTGTCGCTCTCTGTCAACTTGAAGAGACCCTTGTCTTAACATGCGGGCAACCACACCAATGGTTCCTTGTGTCCCTTTTAACCAGTCCCAAAAAGGGCACCCTCAAAAACAGATACACATCCATGTGGAGAAAGGGCAGAAACTATATACATGAGATGGATCCACGAATGACATGTGCGACACCAAACAGGGGTTTCCCCTGCGAGTCCTCAACTTGACTTCTGCGCCACATATGCCTTCCTCAGGCTTACGATATAAACCCGAGTCTTGCCACGGGGCCCCACAAAAAAGATGTTCCTCTTGGTTTCCCTGTATACCAACATAACCAACTTCAAAACGGCCCGTGAAAAAAATCGACCCAACTTATTGGGAGTACGAAACGACGCCTTCCACTCCCGCGCGTCCGAGCAGCAATGGCCCACAAGGCCGTGGGGGAAAGGCCAGCCTTTGCCTGAGCGAGGGGCTCTGCTGAGCTCTGTTCCCCCCTCGGGTTTTTTGGAAGGTCCTCAGGACCTGACTTGCTTCTTGGTAGATGCAAGAAACATGAAGTGATTTGAAGAGGGCTGGGGGAGAAACATTATTCAGCCGGACGCACCTGAATTGGTGGCCTGGACTAAATGAGTCCTATTCCGCCCAGTCGACAGGATTGGTTTTTAAGTGACATTCGACCTCTGCAGAGCCTGTGACTAGACAGGCAGCTTTGACAGACAGATGTGACAGAGCCTGTGAAAGACAGCCTGCAAGACAAGCTCCGCCGCCCAAAGCAGCCACGCGCAGTTACAACACCAGAAAACCTGAGGCAAGGTATTGGTTGCATGACTGACATTCACTTCAACTTCTAAGATGTGTGCAGTTTGTGTTGCCCTGTGGCCCTCGCTTTCAGCACGCCGACCATTCACGCGCTACCTCTGTCCAAGCTGCGTGCTCGCAGAACAACTCTCCGCCGCTGTCTGCAGGCTCCATCCGGTAGCAAACCAAGTATCGCCCAAAGCCTGCAACCGCTTCGCCGAATCAATCGCTGCGTATCCGTCAATCTGCTGAAAAGGGAGGTCCCTTGAACCCTAACAATACAAACAACAAATGCAGGATGAAGGTTCTCTCTGATAATCTTGTGTGGTGTTCCCGTTTCGCAATTCTCGAACCACAGATCAAGGCTCATCTCGGGCTCAGCAAACTTCTTGCACGCCTGAGTCCTTGAAAGAAACATACCCCCTAAGTTTTCCCATTTCGGGGCTTGTTTTCGGTGGTTTTCTTGATTTGGGGCCCCAGTGCCCCTCTAGTCCTGCGTGCTCTAGGAGGCGGGCTCGGCGGTCAGGGCGGGCCAGCCGAGTTGGTTGCGGACTGGCTGAGGGTTGGTTGAGGATTGGTTTGGGGTTGGTCGGTGGTTTAAGCTAACGGCCCTGACCAGGAGCACTGGAGGCCCCCCAAAACCATGCCTAAATATTGGTTTAGGATTGGTTTGGGATTGGTTTATGATTTAGGGTTGGTTTAGGGCTTGGGGCTAAGTTCAGGTTTTGGGGCTCTAGTGGGTTGGTGGGTGGGGGGGGCGGTTTGGGCAGGTTTTGGGCTGCTAGGTCAGAGCTGGCTTGCTGCAGGGCTGGTTTGGCTGCGGGCTGGATATTGGTTTAGGATTGGTGTAGGCTTGGTTTGGGGTTGGTTTGGGGTTGGTTTAAGGCTTAGGGATAGGTTGGGTTTGAGGTTGATTTAGGGCGTAGGGTCAGGTTGAGGCCTCTAGCGCTCCTGCAGTCAGGGCTAGCTTGAGGGCTGGTTTTGGATTAGTGCGGGCAAGGCGGGCCGGCTTGGTTTGGTTGAGGTTGCTGGTTGGTTGATTGCTGATTTCTGGTTTAGGGTTGGATTAGGGCTGGCGTATGGTTTAGAGGCTTGGTTTGGGATTGTGTTATGGTTTTAGGGTTCAGTTTCAGGTTTGCTGATTTGGGGTTGGTTAGGTTGCTCTCTCATTGGTTTAAGGTTGGTTTGGAGTTGATTTAGGGCTGAGGGTCAGGTTGAGGCCTCTTGCGCTCCTGTGTCGGGGCTAGTTTTGGTTGAGGGTGTTGGGTTGGGCCGCTCGTGCTCTGCGAGCAAGGCGGGCTAGCTTTGGTTGAGGATTAGTTTTGGATTGGCTTAACGTTTCGGATAAGCTTTAAGTTTCGGGGGGGCCGTGGTGCTCCTGGAGGATGAGTTTAGGATTGGGGGGTCAGGGCGGGCTAGCTTGAGTGGAGGATTGGTTTGGGATTGGTTGATTGCCGGTTTCTGGTTTAGGGGTGGATTGGGGCTGGCTTAGACTTGGTTTAGAGGCTTGGTTTGGGATTGTGTTATTGTTTAGGGGTCAGTTTCAGGTTTGGCTGGGGCTTGGTTTAGGGTTGGTGTAGGGTTGGTCTAGTTGATTCAGGCCTGAGGGTCACCTCTTGCGCTCATGCGTCGGGGCTGGCTTGAAGGCTAGTTTTGGTTGAGGGTTTTAGGGTTGGGGTTGGCTTGTTGGTTTGAGGTTGATTTAAGGCTTAGGGTCAGGCTGAGGCCTCTAGCGCTCCTGTGGTCAGGGCTAGCTTGAGGGCTGGTTTTGGTTGAGGGTTTGTGGAGGATTGGTTTGGGATTGGTTGATTGCTGGTTTCTGGTGTTGGGGTGGATTAGGGCTGGCTTAGACTTGGTTTCGAGGCTTGGTTCGGGAGTGTGTTGTGGTTTAGGGCTTTCGGGGGGCTTTGGGTTGGTTGGTTGTTCTGGTTTAGGGTTGGTTTCGAGTTGATTTGGGGCTTAGGGTCAGGTTGAGGCCTCTTGTGCTCCTACGTCGGGGCTAGCTTAAGGGCTGGTTGGTTGAGCACTGGCCTCCTTCCACTGGTTCGCGAAGATTGCCGGTGAGATGAACATGGCTGCACACGATGTAATAATAGCAAGCATTGGAGCATGTGCATGTGTTTGACGGACACGTCATACAGGCAGCGTGGCGTAATATGTGTATATAAAAATATACATGTTAAGCTCCCTGCTCCGCTGCCCTGTTTTCCTCTGTCCGCAAGCTCCGATGTTGCGTCTCTCGAGCGGTCGACCAAACACCTTAGTAGAAGCGTTCTTGTCCACGCTTGGCCCAGAAAAGGCAGCGTGACAGAGGCCCGGTGAAGGGTGACAGAAAGCCAACTTAACAAAGCGCTGGCTGCTGCCACTTTTCGATCGCTTCCCAACGGCAGCTGAAGCATCACGCTGTCTGTACCCACCTCCTGCAAAATAGTGCTGCAGTGTTTCTAAGTGCTTGCGGCGCATTGCCCACAAAAGGTTTGAAGTCTCCTTCTGAATTCCTTTTCTTCGCGCAGCCCCACCTGGTCGTAGGCTGGCTGGAGTGATACCCAGCTCTTTTCCAACCATCAAGGCTGTCAACAAAGAATCCCAGCGGAGTCGAAACGAACCCGGGGAACCATTGAAGAGAGCTTCAAGAAAGGGCACTGAAGTAGGGCAAGAAATCCGCACGTGTTGAATCTTCCCCAAACCCCGACGTCTGCCTTTAGGTGAGCGAATCCTCAGAAAAGCTGTGAAGGGATCCTCGGCCAATAGGTCTCTTGGAAGCAACAAATCCTCCCGTACGGTGGCAAACTGGTTCCACGCACTTTGCTAAAAGCGTCCAAAGCTTTCCCGTGAAAATGCAACTTCCTGGAATATCACGCTGTATGAAAGTAACCAGCTGCCTGAGCAAATATAGCGACTGCCCTGTGTCATAAAGGTGCTGCGAAAAAAAAACTGCTGCCAGCTCGACAACGGTCGCAGGACAAGCAAGGCAAGATTCGGCTGCTTCAGCGCTGAGCTTGTTGCGGACCCAAACGCCAAAACCGTTCCACATTTTCAGTCCCAGGAGCTGGGTGTTTGGCTCAACCAGCTTCAGCCCCTCCAGCCAGCTCAACTGCCGCAATGTCACCCACGGCGAGTGTGTTCAACGCTGGGTAAAACACGCTCTAGCCCTCACCTCCTCTGGGGAAACCGGCCCGACCAGCGAATTGCAAACAAGGTGTCCGTGATTGATCATATAGGAGTAATGAACATCTCTAAGCTCTGGTTCCAAATGTAAATCTGTAATGTTAGCAGCGCTGCCCTGCCCATACCCAAACTGCAAACAGGCCTGCTTGATATCCTGGATACACTTCTGGCGCTCGCACAAGACCCAGTCTGCCAGCTCGCTCAAGTTTTTTTAAACACGCTTTTCAAAAGGCGAAGCCATGATCTTGACACTGTGGTGAGGAGCTTTTTCGCTGTCTGTACAGGCCTCGCATAAATCTGTTGCGATGCGTGGTCCATGGATCAAACGCAGGCACTCCACGGAAATCGCTGAAATAGAAGATCTGCAGTTGAAGGCCCGGCGCAAACTCGCAAGGTCTCCCTGCGAAAGATGTGTTAGAAGCAGCGGCGGACTCCTCTTCAGCGGAGTCTCGCATCCTCTCGCTGCTCAAATTCCTGCAGCGCGCGGTCCACTGACTCAAACTTCGCGTCAGCTCGGCCCATGTCTATAGCTGTAACAGGTTCGATCTTCCGTCATGTGTCCATATACTGCTCAATCAGCCGCGCCGCTGCAGCTTGCTCAGAGAAGAACCCAAAACACAGTGAAGAGGTGCCACGCGAGGCTGCCGAAGATGTAGCCAGCTCAACGCCAGCACAGCAAGATCGACGCCCGCGCGAAAGCTCCTCCCCTCCGCGGCCTGGAGGCCAACGCAGATGCGGGTATGGTAGCGGCATAGGCCAGGGGCCTTGTTGATTTCCGGAATCCGGAAATGGAGCTGGTTTGCGGAACAGAGATTTGAAGAATTTCTTGAGGTCGCCCTCCACTGAAAGCAAAATGTCGAAAACCACGCCGCCACAGTAACTGCGCTGGCAGCGCTTCCCGGAATGTGATGAAATGTGCTGCTGTCCGTGGGCTGCTGGTCTGCACGCATTCGTTGCTTTTCTGAAGACAAGCTCAGGGGTTTGCCTCTGGGAGGTTCTTGCCTCATTTTGGCTTTCCCTTCCTTTCCTTGCCTTTTCCACCCCCTTTCAAATTCCCTGCATGGCCCTTTTCCCAAGCATGCACTCGTCCCTTTCTCTCACGCGGCTCATGAATGCCTCTGCCCAACGTCCGTCCAGGGGGCGTGAATGCTGCGCTTCCTGAAATTCTGGAGGCACGCGCTTCCCGAAAACTTTGCCCGCCAGCGTCCAGCTCCCACGATCCACTGCTACCTGATCCAGCTCAGCTGAGCCAGGAGCAAAGCAAGCCTCACTCCGAATGCAAGCCTCCAAGCTGTTTTGAAAGTGCCCTGGATGTTTGGAATCCTGGAACGATGTTCGACCCAGCCTCTGAAGGACGCGAGCTGCTCTCCACCTCCGGGTATCACCCCCGCTGCACCAAAATCTTCGAGCATCAGTTTTTCGATGGCAGTGTAGATTATCCCTGGACATGCGTTTGATCACGTTTTAGGCGGTCATTTGTCTCTCGACCCTGAAAAAAGGATTTCACGCCATTCGGGGGTTTCACGGCCATTTTCTCGGCTCACGAAATTTCACGGATTTTCGCGGGATTTCACGGCCTTTTGCGTGGATTTCACGGTTATTTCACGAAATTTCACGGTTTTTCACGGCCATGTCTGGCCGGACACCGCTTTCTGCTCGGCGCCTCCAGCCACGACTCGACGCACTGCCCTCGTTGTCGAGGATCTCGTCCAGCGAAGTTGCTTTCTTTTTACCCATAGCCAGCGTGTCGACAATGCGGGTCAACTTCAGCACAGCCTTTTCCATCGCCCCTGCTCCGGCCTCTGCAGCACCGTGCTCCCCGTCGCCTGGGCCCAAAGGCTCGCCATCTAAATCCTGGAGAGTTTCTCCCAGCTCCTTCAAATGATCCTCGCTGGTGCCCGCCTGGCGAGCAGCTGCCACTACACCGAGGTCGAAGCCAGGCAGCGCGCCATCTGCGCGCTTGCGCTTTGGTGGAAGAAGTCCTGGAGGCGCCTTGAAAGCATCTGCAGCAGGTTTCAAACTTGGCCGGCGAGCAAGGCTTTGGGGCTCTCCTGCACCTCTCGCATCTGATCCTCTAGCGAGTCCATGCGACTCTTTGTAGGAGTCTGCGGCTCGGACCCTGCTGTGGCAGTGACGAACCCGAACTTCTCGTCCGCTGCAAGAACTTCCGTTCGTGGTCACCAAACTGCAGTCAGGGTCGGCTGCGTCGCTGAAGCTGAGTCTTCCCTCCAGCGCCCCGCCGAGATACCCCAACCAGAACTTGATGCCCCGTCAGCCGGGCTTCCCGCTGCTACCGACAGCAAAACTGGCTTTACCAGGGATGCAGGCGGCAAAAGTCGTTGTGCTGTAAGGCGATGCCACGCTTTCCCAGGAACTGCCCCCAATTTCAATCGGTCCCAGACAGTCGCCTCCTCGACGCCGACCTCCGGCTCTCCCTCTTCTGACTCAGGCATTGGCAGGACTGCTGGGCCAACGCAGGCCTCTTTCACGTTCCCTCGAGTCCGAGTGAGCGGCTTTCGAGCTGGCCGGGCCAGCGCTGCTCATCAAACAGTCCTGTAGAGAACACCACTCCTCAACAAGTTTGCCAAATGCTGGCGAAGAATAGCCACCACCAATTGTCTGCCAACACCGACCAACAAGGAGTGCAGATCCAGGCTCCAAATGCAAGGCGCGCTCAAGCCAGGAAAAGGGCAATCCAGCCGGTCCAAGGGCAACCCGACACAACACCAAGGGACAGGTGCCTATGGGCCATGTCAGCTTGACCCACAAAAAAGCTGCAGCCAGCAGGAAGGTAAACATTCAAGGACATTCATATGGGTCGATTTTCACGTGTCCATATGTATATGTATATGTATATGTATATGTATAAATATATATATATATATACATATATATATATGTGTGTGTGTGAAGATTCTGATGTAGGCAGGCCGCAAGTTAGGATTTTTGGGGCTTTTTCGGAAGTTGTGGCCAGGTGCACTAACATAGTACTGGAGTGTCAGCACTTCTAGTGATCATTCGGGGCTCCTTTAGTGCTGATACTCTGGTACTATGTTAGCCCGCTTGGCCACAACTTCGGAAAAAAAAACTCCAAAAATCCCAAGTTGCGGCCTCCCCACACATTCCTCTAGTGCGCCTCGTATCATCCTCTCCTCAAGTGCTCCTGTGCTAGTAGCACTTCTCCTCTAATGCTCCTCCTCGAGTGATCCCCGAGTGCCCTGGAGTGATCTTCTAGTGACCCTGAGTGACACTCCATTCATATCTTCAGCGCTTTTCTAGCCATCTTCCAGTGATCACTAGAGCAGCACTAGAGCACCTAGAGCGGCAATAGAGGAGCACTAGAGGAGCACTAGAGGAGCACTAGAGGATTGAACAACGGGAAAAACCGCATGAAAAGACGTCAAAAACGAGAAAACCACGGCTTAGGTACTTATGCCCTGGACAGACTATTTAAGAACATCAGACCTTCTTTTGGAAGGAGCTTAGTCTACGCGTCAAGGGGGTGCTCAGATTCCCAGAAACAGACACCTGCAAATCCCGACAGTATTATTATTTAAAGAAAACAAAAAACAATAGTCGGACACAGAAAAACAACAACAACTGAAGACATGGGTCTTCCCGGAGTTCCCTAAACTCGGGCACGCTGGCAAAGGACAGCATACGGTAAATAAGCGCTTCGACACACTTGAAGCTGATTTATGATGAAGTACCCTCCCACCGAAAGTAACACCTCACAACAAATGCCTTATTGAAAGGCATGGTCAACTATGTTTTCCCTGTACACGACGCCCACTACCCACGAGATAAAGAAGTCCAAGAAGCACATGCAGATCTTCGGCAGAAAGCAATTGACGCCCACCACCATTGCAAGGCGTATGTTCTGGATGAGGGCCAAAGCTACAACCGAGCACACCGGTGTCAGAAGCAGTAGCGAAATTCGAGTGATTGAGGTCACTGGAAGCCCCATGTAGCCTGGCGCTCAGAAAGTCCATGCGTGCTCCGCATGGGTACGGTTGAGCAGTTTCGGGCATGTGCTGCGGAACCGCCGGGAGCTTGCCAGGAAGGCACTTTGAGGAATCAACCACCTGCCTCTAAAGCTGCTGCATGGATTTGCACAGATATTCGTATACATGTGTGCAATATATACATATATATACATATTATAGCACTTGCCCAAAAACAACCTACACACACAAAGGATGCATGGGCCAAAAGAAAGGGCGCCTGCAGCCTGTGCTCAAGGCTCAATGACAATTGAACAGTGGGTTGACAACCAGGAAACCAAGGGTAACAATAGTGCGTAGGACCGTTGGACATCAATCCAACATGTTGCAATGCAGGGTCGAGAGCAAGCTTTTCCGGCTTCGGACCCTCAAGATTAAATCACAACAGCTTGAGAATGGTATGGTATGACCCACATGTGACGATGTGGTCAAGCTCCCATCTGCATACACATTCTAAGTCAAAATCGCAAAAGCTCCGAAGCATCTGTACTACACATGTCATAATATTGCGCTAGGCATGTTGGTTGCACGCTGACAACACGAGGGTTGGCCACTCGGCGGCAGCTCGCAAATCCAACACTTGAAATCGGTATTCTTGTATTTCGCCAGCGTTGCGCCGTCTGAATGGTGAGTCTCTCTTCGTTTCTCTTCAGCTTCTCAACCCCTGGCAGGTCAGCAAGCAGCTTTGTTTGCAGTCCGTTGACCACAACAGAACGAGCCAACTCACATGCCCAAAGCAGCAAACTGAGAATCATGCACGGGCGGAATCCCAAACAGTGGGCAAATCCGTGGATGCCTGCATTGGGCGTTTGGCATGACGCCTGGCAACTTGGCCTAGGAACTTCAAAAATCTTCTGGCTTAGGCCTGTGTCAATATTGGTACCCCGTGTTTGACATCTCCGAAGACTCGTAACGTACAGAGAATACCATGCCAACTTAACCGAGCATCAACCTATGCGATCTGCTCAAACAGGTGGCTTGGCCAATCCTCATCCGGAGTTGCTGGGGCACACACACACACAGGGGGACTCCCTTCCGCAACGGACAAACAAAATATTTGCTCCGGAATTGTGCAGGTCCAAGCCAAACGTGTCTTGCTCCTGCGTGCCTCGAGGTAAAGGCTGGCTTGCATCTTGTCTTCCAAGAGCCCAAGAGTGTGCATTCGCTGAAAACAACATGTCAACAGATGCCTTGGCGTATTGTTTGATTACAACGGGCTCAACTTGGGCGAGCAAGCGTCGGATCGATATAGATAGGGAAGGGGTGGCGCATGATGCACTAATATGTGGTACTAAAAATGATGAAACAAACAATTGGCTTCAACACTTCAAACTAAACCAAGAAACAGCTCCGCTTAAGAGCACTCTTGCATTGGGTAAAAAACAATAGCCCAGCTCCAATATCCAGAGGTACAAACCTTTCGCACACCCTATGGAATCCAGCAACCGAAGAAACGCGCAATGCCCTTGCCTGTGTTGTCAAGAAAAAAGGCTAGGGGCAGAATTCTGTTCAGTTCTATATTCTTCCCAAGTCCCTGCTTCCTGGTGTGCCCAAAACTGAAGGAACTCCTTTTCGGGTTGTTCTAAGGGAAACTACAGGAAACCAGCCTTTTGACACCTTTGTTTGATTGACCTTCGGTCTCCGCGCCTAGAAGACAACTGGTGCAAATGCCTCCGTCTGTGGAGTCTGCGTTGCCCAGGTCCAACACCTTGTAAAAACCCTGATGCCCATCGAACAAAGAGGTCACATTTCTGTGGGTGCTACATGGGTGGGACATCGCCATTTGGCTTGCTGCTGGCAAGACTGAAAATATGGGCTGTTTAGCGCCCAGTTCTTTGGTGGTTAACTCTGAAGGATCCCCCCTAAACAGCAAGGCCTGCTTCCGTCGAGGTCACTCTCAAAATGAACAAGAAACACCGTCGCAAGAAAACGACATGCTCACCCAAATATCCTTCACAGCGGCTTACATGTTCTGCACCAGGAAATCACGTCCAAGACGGCGGTTCTGTTTTCGGTCTGCTAAAAGGTTGTGATGTTTTTTCATCGCCAAGCGGTATCTTTTGCAAAGAACACCCCTAAATCACCTTGAAAGGCGTTGAACAAAAATCTTGCCAAGCATGAACATGTGATAGAAGTGTTAAACTAGAAAAAAGGCAATCATTTAATAATAGAACATCAACAATAACACAGCCTGGGAGTGAACTACGGATAACATTCAACCTAAATATGTCTGCTTGTATTTATGTTCTATGCGTTTCTTACTTTGGTCATTATGCATATCATACAATTGCAAAAACAACATACCGCTTCTGATTCCGAACGCGCAAGAGCAGGACCCATTTTTCCACACGGCTGGGACGGGGTTGTACCCTAAAGGCTGCCGCATCGTTTCATGCCTGAAGTGAAAGCCTCGCTTCCACACCAAACCCTATAGTCTCAGGCATGGCTCAGCACGTATTTTGCGCTTTCGCGCTGCAGCCGCCCTCGCCGGAACTGCCTCCAGCATGTCCATCAAGCACCATTTGCCCTCGAGCATCAGCTTCTCCATCATGCTGTTGCCATTCCACTTGGTTCTCAGCACCCCTCTCAACCCGCGCCTCCCGAACGATCATGATCTTGCGATCCGCGAGCGGTCCATGCGCAACGCATCGTAGGCCACCTTTGCATCCACGAAGATGCGCCGCCAAAGGCTGGCCTTCAGCTTCCAGCGGCTCAGCCTGAAGTCCTTGCAAAATATCTCCGCGACAACGGTCCTGATGTAGCGTGGCCGCCTCCGAGATCTCGCCGCCACTGCAGCGAACCGGGTGCTGCGCCGTTCTGGATGTGCGGGCGGGCAAGCAGCACCGCCGCTCCACAATGACTCCCGCCTCCCGCCTCCTGGCTGCCCTCCAGAGTTGGCGTCCCTCGCGAAGCCATCGGATCTGGGACTGTGAAGGCATGGGCGGTTGCAAGTCTCCCTTTTCTCGCGTGGGCGCCAGCTGGATCTCCTTAGTCTCTGGATCCGCCACTCATACCTCACGCAAAACTTATGCCAACCATCATTCGCCCGGCGCTACTCGATGTGAAGCCGATGTCCTTGAACGTATCGCCTCAGGCGTATGTGGTGTTGTGCACAGCTGTGCGCCGACACCTAAGCGCCTGGTCAGGAAGAATTCGCAGCTAACAAGTTGCACACTGGATACTGCCCTGCGTCTGGATCACGATAGTCAGCTCCACCGCTTGCGTCGCCCGCAGCTGCCAGCAAGAGCTTCTTCCAAAGGAGCGTTCGCGTCCTGGATCAATCAACTTCGTACTTGCCGATGGCGTGCTTCAAGGGCCAGGCTATTACCCACTTACTCAGCACAACGCCCCCTTTAAGTGGGGCTCCTTTTCGGCGCAGCCCGGGTCAACAACACCGCCGTGCCCTTCTTGTGCTTCAGGCGATCGGAGCCATCGGCATTGACGTTATTTTTCCCCGGGTCTGACGGCGCCTGCTCCTCGGCGTCAGCCCAGGGCACGCTGAACTCGATGCCCTCTTGCCGCACAGCTTGCAGGGTCGCCTCTATACGATCGCTGAGGTCTGGCTTCAATTCGAATTGATACTCTCTGTTGGGCTCGGGCCATTCATTGCTGCCGGCTCACTCTGATGAAAAATCCAAGCCTCTTTTTCAATGGGAACCTTGAAGTCAGCAAGCAGATCCACAGTGAGAGCTCCCTCGGGCTTGTGCAAAGCCAAAACTCTTCACCTTCATCTTTCGGGAGGAGATGGTACGCTGTCAACTGTGATTCCCAGTTGCGAGCATGCCATGCGAGCGCCAGGAGTTGTGACCATGGGTTCCTCCATCCTAACTCTCCATGGATTCACCTGAGCCGCTTCCAATGCACAGGAGAGGTGATGCACCAGTTGGGCCGCTCTGTCCTTCAACTGAACTGATGCGTGGTCCGATCAGCTCCCGCCACAGCGGGCACACCACCCACCCAGCACAAGCTCGCCCTCCTTGATGCCCTGGATTGTCACCACGAACTCCGCTGCCACTTGATCCGCACGGCGTCAACCCGAATGGCGCAAGTGCAGGATCCTATTCTCTCCACACGGGGCTGGGAGGGGGTTGTGCCCCAAAGGCTGCGGCATCGTTTCATGCCTGAAGTAAAAGCCTTGCTTCCACACAAATTAGTGATCGCATACCGACGTCCCTTAAAGAACAAGGCGGCAAAATGCGGCAAAACCCAAACTGCTGACTGCAGTTGCTGGCGCCGAGGCCCCCTCCAGGAGCCAAGCGCTGAGCTCCGCCGTCGTGTGGAGAAAGGTCCGGGACTGGCGCACCGTGTGAAGTACCGGAGACGCCACCGCCACGAATGACATGAACCTCGGAGGGGGGCGGGGATGCGAGTTTTGGGGCTGGAGATATAGTTGAGTTGGGTGAAAGATAGCAGAACTCCAACCGATTCAGGTTTAGTCACCATCCTGGGCCAGGTTCTGAGGTCGACGTTACTCGGCACCGTTCCGATCAAGCAGTACCTGTGCCTATCCAAACTTGGCGCCCATTAAAAAAAACACAAACACAACAAGGAATGTGCTCATTTGGGAAGCATGTGGTTTTCTGCTTGGAAAAAGCATCAAGGGTTTTTTGCGTTTGGAGGATACCGGCGGCTTGCCGAATTTTACACGGGCATTATGCCCATTCCGTGGAGCAAAACAATGAATCGCCGCCCGCTTGCACCATTGGGCCCCCAATCAACCGGCTGCATGTGATCCTACAACAAGCAACTCGTGGCTTTCCCTTACATAATGATTCCGCCGCTTGAAAGAAGCAACCAGGGGTGTTCCCTTCTCGAAAGGATGGTTTCCACTTCAATCTCATACAAGCAATCTGCGGGCTTGAACTGAACCCGGCTCCACGTCCATGTCAAACAGCAAACCAGCGGGTGGGAATGCGCCCTGTTCCATTTCCATGTTAAGCACTGTTTTTGCACTGAAAAACCAAGGACGCCCCTGTTTGGATTGTTAGAATGTTTGTGTCTGGAAGGAACACCGCTCAAAAACAAAACAGAGGACACCGCAACCAAACACAAGGCTTCCTGGAAGTGTTGTTAGTTCCGGGAAAGAATCATCTAGGAAAGGAATGCGAGAGCTATCCTAGAGCAGTGGGTTGTCAGTGTGGTTCTGCCTCCATGCTTTGCATGTTGGCTTGCACTGATTGGCTATTACAATAGCAACAGGAATCAGAGGGAGTGGCTTCTCGTGGGAGAGGAAGACTGTTGGTGTTGCCCCAAAAGTAAACACGAACAAAACAAGGTCGGTGCACAGTTTGTTTGGGAAACACGCCTTGGCAGGAAAGCAAAGGCAAAGTTCAGAGTTTAGGGATGGTCTTTGGTTTTCAAAGGGGGCCTCACCCAGAAAAGGCAAGCTGGGAGGGAAAAGGACTTTTTGGTCTGTGTCGGTCTTTCAAAAAGCCTTTGTTCAGCTGGGCAGGGGACTGGTTAGTGAAGACGCTGCTCTCCTTGGTGTTCCCCGTCGCCTTTGTCACCCCGGACGCTGACACCAGGAAAACCAGCACATCCTGGCTCACATGAGTTCTAAGGATTGGTTCCCAATTCTCGCCCGCCGTTCTCTCCAGAAACCACACATTCTCCCTCATGTTTGTTTTGACGAGCAAAACCGCTGAAGAGAACGGGGAAGGCGCAGCAAGAGTTGAGAATGGACAGAAACGTTTCTCAGAATGGTGCTTTGCCCCTCCCCACCTTTGCTTGGCATTAAAAGCAACTCGTGCCATTCTACGGGACACCTAGTTGTTCCTTATCTTTCCCTCAATACATCAAGACCTGTTGGGCAAATGCCTGGGTCCATCTATCCACCGGTTGGCATGTTTCAGCATTCACACATAGTACAGCAAACACCACCAAGACATAATGCCGCCGACGCAACATTTTGGCTTCGTTTCTAAAGGAGGAACCCCTAGACTGGGTGGTGTCCTTTTGTTCCCTCTAAAGGCAGCCCGAAAGTGCCACTTCGAAAAGGAACCACGCGCCCCAAGATCTTACGTCCTGAAGTATGAACTGGGCCATCTGGAATAGCTGATCCCGCCGCTGTGTCGCGCACTTCATGCAAAGATGGGCTGAGTCATCTGCAGGCCCGTGCGAGCCTGTCCATGGGGAGAAAACCAAAGCCCCCGCAATAAAACATGCTTGCAACCTTCTGCGAAAGTTCAAGGTTTTAGAAGGGTTCTGAGAACCTTTCTCTGGGTGGTAGGTCTTTGAAGGCCTGAATCTCAAACCTATTCTTGGGAACTCCATGTTGTCTGGGCTATGGGCCCCAAAACAGTTGGTTATGGTCCCCAAAACAGTTCAGGGTCAAACCAAAATAGGGGCCCAGAAACGGACAAGTGTTTGTTGATTGGTTTATATTGAGGCAGGGAATCATGCAGAACAAGATTGCTCTTCAAGATGAGCCCCAATTGTTGTCAACAGCTGTCCACGTGCGCCTGGTACACTTGCCCAAAAGGGGTGCTTGGCTCTTTCTATTCCCGGACCCTTCCTAGCCCTACGGGGAAATATCTGTCGTTGTTAAGGGCACTTTGGTTATCAATACTCACAAACGGAGCAATCATACTCATCTAGGAGACCTGTGTAAGCGTGTCAGGTCAATTTGCTAAGGCCTATGAACTCACTATTGGAGTGTATTATTTTTAGACAATGTATTCCAAGCAGCTACTGCACTGTGCGCAGCCCCGGCCCTCGTAGCCAGGAGAGCACATGCTGAAGGAGTCCGGTGTTACCTGCAGGCTGACAACGCAATTATCTTCGATGCATCAACAAATACAAAAAAGAACACGCCTCCAATGGGACCCAAGAACCAATCGCTCATGGATTGATCTTCCACTTCCGAGTCGAAATTCAAGATTGAGACATCCACTGCGAGATGGCAAATGCCAAATGAAGTCGAACACGGTGACAGCAGGGCATCTGAACCGACACTGCGACAAACAATCTGCATGGGCAATGTACGAAATCAAAATGCTTTGGGAAACATAGTCCAGGAGAAGTTTTAGCCTGAGAAACTCCAACAACAAACAACGACGATAGCAAGTGCAAACAACAAGTCTCCGCCACATAACCTATCCTGCTGGATCACGTGACATGTTACACTGCTACACAAGATTGGAAGGTAGGTTGGAAAAAATACAGAGCGAACGGAAATAGGACAATGTGACATGTGCAACAGTGTACGCGTTGCGTATTTGTCTGACACTTTCTGGGAAACAGCTCTCGCGTCAAGCTGACACGTCGTACCAACATCGGCTCAAGTCTTGGAATTTTGCATTCTGGAGGAATCTGCCCTCACTGGCGGCTCCCCTGTTGATTTCTCATGTAGCACATCCGAAACAAAGGACACGTACCCTGAAAGCAAAACACATATCGCATCAGACAATAGAACGGCCTGCCATTCCAGTTCTCAACCTGGCGTCCGTTTCTGTCATATGTCGCGGCAGCCATGCATCATATAAGTTAACGTCCCAGCTTGAGTCAAAATGGAAGGTTGCCTGCAGACAAGAAAAACTGCAATGAACCCATCCACGACAGACAGCTTCTGCACAAAGGATAATTAGCCACGAAAGGAGCGTCGTCTTGGAATCAACGAGTAAGCCAGTAGTTCGTGAATCCTCCTTCATGGGTCGTTCTACCCCCGATATGTGACCTCGTCATAATTTGAAGGTCTGAATCCCGAGTGCCGAACGAGCCTCTCCACCAAAGCAGGCATTGGGATTGGGACAGCGAAAGGCACGGCTGACGTTCGCAGATTCCAGCATGTAGCCATGTTCCATCCGAAGCCTCGCACTCCTGAAACGAAGGAGATGGCGATGTTTGGCAGTTTGCTCCTTCTCATCATCATCATCATCATCATCATCATCATCATCATCATCATCATCATCATCATCATCATCATGGATGAACATCTTCGTCATCTATTTGTTTTGCGGCGGTGATTGGTGGTTTTGAGGTTCGGGGGTTGGTGTTGAACCTTGACAAGCGACATGGCTTCAAATACCCAAAGCAACAATGCAAGCCACCAAACAAAAGTAATGGGATTCACTGGTTCCATTACATGCTAAAGCAAGCCAGCTAGCAAGCCAGCTTTTGTGATAAGCTAAAATCTGGTGATAAGGCATTAAAGCAAGCTCACACCACCCCGTAGTTGCTCTCAAGTTGCATGACTGCTCAAAACACGAACTTTGCAAGGGCGCAGTCACGCTAAGAGGACAGGTGAAGGAAGATGATCCCCTTTGGGCTACCAACGTTGCTTTCAGTCATCGTCTTTACAGTTTACAGTGTTCCGTGTTTTTTTTTGCTTTGAACGCCGCAAATCGCAACATGTTAGCGCAAGTGTAGCGCACAAAGTATGTCTTGGCAGCTCCAGCCCGAGAATCGCACATGTTCACTGCAAGTGTAGCACACAAAACAAACTGTTGCAGCTCCCCGAAAATCGCAACTTCTCAGTGCAAGTGTAGTGCACAAAGTACACTTCGGCAGCTCCAGCTTGAAATTCGTAGCTGTTCAGTACATGTGTAGTCCACAAAGTGCACTTTGGCAGCTCCGGCTTGATATTCGCAAACTGATCACACGTTGTAATACGAACACGTGCGGATGGGAGGAAAAGCGTGCAAAGGGCCATTTCTGTTGTGTACAACCTCAGGTGTTGGCGCCGGAAGCCAACCCTTACCACCGAAGCAAACACTCCATCATTGCATTGTGATGGGATGGAGGGGACGAAACACGACAGACGGTGGGATGCTTTGTTTGCGGAATTTGATACACATCTGGACCTCGGCTGTGTAGCACCTCTGCAGCCAGGTGCCTCATCTTAATGAAAGGTATCATGCCTCCTGTTGTTTAGCCCACCAATGCATGCCCATGCCGAGCACCAGCTAACCTAGGCCTCGCAACCATGCATCGGTCGAAATCAACACACACGACAAGCACAAATATTTACACTGCCTGATACAATCCGGTGACCAAATTTGAGCATTTCGCGGGCCGCGCCTCAGGTCCTCCCCACAAAGGCAAAACGTCAACAGCCTCCCTTTCTGCAAGCGACCTTGAGATGCTCAGCAGACCCGCTATATGTTCTTTCTGACGTCCAACTGTGCCTTTAGATTCTACTTGCTTCAAAGCGCCTTCGCCCATCCTCCTCCTTCAACTTTTTGGCCAGGGTGCTCGACGATCGCATGCTCCGGGCCATTGACACACTGCCTCCTGAACCTCGCGTTTTCATCTTCTGGAACCCAGCGGAACCTCTGCATCCGAGTGCCTCATCTTCGTGAAAAGCAACATGCCTCCTACTGCCCAGCCCTGATCATACTGAGCACCAGCTAACCTAGGCTTACACACAACACGGACAAATCTTTACACTACCTGATAAAATCATGTGATCAAATTATAGCGTTGCACGGGCCGCGCCTCAGGTCCTCCCCACAAAGGCAAAACGTCAACAGCCTCCCTTTCTGCAAGCGACCTTGAGATGCTCAGCAGACCCGCTATATGTTCTTTCTGACGTCCAACTGTGCCTTTAGATTCTACTTGCTTCAAAGCGCTTTCGCCCATCCTCCTCCTTCAACTTTGCGGCCAGGGTGCCCCACGATCGGATCCGGGTCCTCATTACATGGCCTCCTGACTGTCGCGTTTTCATCTTCTGGACCCCAGCGGAACCTCGGCACCCGAGTGCCTCATCTTCGTGAAAAGCAACATGCCTCCTACTCTCTAGCCCACCAATGCATGCTCATGCCGAGCACCAGCTAACCTAGGCCTCGCACCCATGCATCGTTCAGAATCAACACACACACACAATAAGCACAAATCTTTAAAACTGTCTGATGAAATTCGGTGAGCAGATTAGGGCATTTCACGGGCCGCGCCTGAGGTCCTCCCCGCAAAAGGCACAACGTCAACAGCGTCTCTACAGTAGTCAAACCGGAGCAACCCCATCTGCCGGACATCCCAACCGACCTTGAGATGTTCGGCATTCATTTTTTTGGCCAGGGTGCTTGATGGTCGCCTGCGGGGCCTTCATACATGGTCCCTTTATCGTGTCATATTGAATTCTGAACTCGATTTGCGTGGCGCTGAGCTGCATATAATGCGCCTGCGCGAAACTCTTGCAATGAGAATCAGCCCACACACGAAAGTCACCCAAAAAACAAAGGCTTTCAGATAGCCCGCCCAAGCCTGGAAGGACACACCGGCAAGGCTTGCGCAAGAGGCAAAGAGAGATTTATGGCTTGCATATCCCTATCTCAGTATAAAACAAGGAGTGCTTGAGAATCAAGGCCTGTAGCGCGCGACTCATGGCATACACATGTAAGTTAATTAACGTATTTTGCCGTGTGTGCAAACTGACATGCTAGCGCGACTGGCCAAAACAAAGGTGAGTGAACCTGCCCTGCCATAATGAAGGCGCAACCCAACGAATGAAACGCAGTCGCACGGAGTTCACCAACGATGCGTCCACGTACCTTTGTTGCGCTGTCACTTGCTTCGGCTCTCCATACGTGCTAAGCTGTATACGGGTGTGTGTTTTCAGCGAAGCTGTGGGGTTGCTCTTTTGTTTGACGGCGTGACGGCCCCTATTTAAAAACAAACTCATACACCGGGCAAACCGCAGGAGCCCTTTGCTTCATCTCTCTTCTGATAGACACCGGCAGCGTTGCGCCAATAAATTGAGACTCAAGCGCCTGAAGCGTTGCAAGCAAGAGCACGGCTGATACAAGTTTGCACAACAAACTAAGCATTCTTCATGGGACACCGGGCTGGCAGGAGGCAATGAAGCATTGAAAACGGTCTTGCGGGCTGCAGTCACAAGGGTGACAGTCACAATGCGACTATTGCCCTTTGAACGCATATTCACACACAAACATCATGTTTGTGAAAAATGATTGAGTGCGTTTGTTGTAACCGATTACCCTGTTTGCCCTAGACTCCATCACAGATCTTCTCTTCTCGTTCCGACTTGATTCAGAAGTTGGCTTGCCCTGCGCTCGACACGAAGGAACCGTTACCTGAAAACAACAAACCTGTAGGGAGGTTGAAACGAGATCGAAACGAGGTAGGACCGAGATTCTAGGGAGGCCACTCCCTACCTTTCCCAGGCCAACAGCAACAACAGAACTGAAAGTTTGAAGCGAACTTGACTGGACTAACGGCATCCTGCAATGCGGTGAATGTGCAGACAAAAAAACACAGACACACACCACACCGCGCACCGCGAACCACAGTCCACACACCGCAGCCTGCACACCACACTGCCCACCGCCAAAACCGAATTTGAGGGGGGGATTTTTTGAGGGTTTGAGCGGCTAAGGGATGCTGCTGGTGATGCAGGAATGCTGGGGATGCTGGTGAAGCTGGCGAGGATGCTGAGGATGTTGGCGGCGATGGTGGCGACTGTCGGGGGCGATTTGCGTCGTTTTTACCCAGAGCCAGTCGCAAGGCCAGGGATGCCGGAGATGTTTTGGGGTCCAAATGTTTGGGCTGGCCTGCGTGCAGGTGATGCAGGGGATGCTGAGGAGGAGCTTGGGATGCAACAAAACAGGTCAGCGGTATGCCCTTCGGGTAGGGTTGCCCTTGCTCTTCGAGCTCGAAGACACACAGCGCAGCTGCATTTCTGCCTTGTGTTGTTTGATGTGTGTGTGATGTGTGTGTGATGGATATGTGATGTGTTATGTGTGCTGTGTGATGTGTGGTGTGTGGTGTGTGATGTGTGATGTGTGATGTGTGAAGTGTGATGTGTGATGTGTGACGTGTGACGTGTGACGTATGACGTGTGATTGTGACGTGCGCTTGTGACCTGTGACGTGTGATGTGTGATGTGTGATTTGTGATTTGTGATGTGTGATGTGTGCGTGTGTGTTTGTGTTTGTGTGTTTGTGTGTTTGTGTCTGTCTGTGTCTGTCTGTGTCTGTCTGTGTCCGTCTGTGTCCCTGTGTGTCCCTGTGTGTCTCTGTGTATCTCTGTGTGTCTCTGTGTGTCTCTGTGTGTCTCTGTGTGTCTCTGTGTGTCTCTGTGTGCTCTGTGTGTCTCTGTGTGTCTCTGTGTGTCTCGGTGTGTCTCTGTGTGTCTCTGTGTCTCTGTGTGTCTCTGCGTGTCTCTGTGTGTCTGTGTGTCTCCGTGTCTCTGTGTGTCTCTGTGTGTCTTTGTGTGTCTCTATGTGTCTCTGTGTGTCTCTGCGTGTCTCTGTGTGTCTGTGTGTTTTGTGTGTCTCTGAGTGTCTCTGTGTGTCTCTGTGTGTCTGTGTCTGTGTATGTGTGTGTGTGTTTGTGTGTCTGTGTGTGTGTGTGTTTGTGTGTGTGTGTGTGTTTGTGTTTGTGTGTTTGTGTTTGTGTGTCTGTGTGTGTGTGTGTGTTTGTGATTGTGTGTTTGTGCGTTTGTGTGTCTGTGTCTCTCTGTGTCCCTTTGTGTCTGGCTCTGTCTGGCTGTGTCTCTCTGTGTCACTCTGTGTCACAGAGACACAGAGACACGCAGAGACACACAGAGACACAGAGACACACAGAGACACACAGAGACACACAGAGACGCACAGAGACACACAGAGACACACAGAGACACACAGAGACACAGAGACACACAGAGACACACAGAGACACACAGAGACACGCAGAGACACGCAGTGACACACAGAGACACAGAGACACACAGACACACAGAGACACACCGAGACACACAGAGACACACAGAGACACACAGAGACACACAGAGAGACACAGAGACACACAGAGAGACACAGAGACACACAGAGACACACAGAGAGACACAGAGTGTCTCTGTGTGTCTCTGTGTGTCTCTGTATGTGTCTGTGTGTCTCTGTGTGTCCCTGTGTGTGTAGGGTCAGATTGAGGCCTCTAGCGCTCCTGCAGTCAGGGCTAGCTTGAGGGCTGGTTTTGGTTGAGGGCTGCGGGCAGGCGGGCTAGCTTGGTTTGGTTGAGGTTGCTGGTTGGTTGATTGCTGGTTTCTGTTTTAGGGTTGGATTAGGGCTGGCTTAGACTTGGTTTAGAGGCTTGGTTTGGGATTGTGTTATGGTTTAGGGTTCAGTTTCAGGTTTGCTGGGACTTTGCGCTCCTCCAGTCCTTTGGGTTGGTTAGGTTGCTCTCATTGGTTTAAGGTTGGTTTGGAGTTGATGTAAGGCTGAGGCTCAGGTTGAGGCCTCCTTTGCTCCTGTGTCGGGGCTGGTTTTGGTTGGGCCGCCCGTGCTCTGCGAGCAAGGCGGGAGGATGGTTTGGGATTGGTTGATTGCCGGTCTAGGGGTGGATTGGGGCTGGCTTAGACTTGGTTTAGAGGCTTGGTTTGGGATTGTGTTATTGTTTCGGGTTCAGTTTCAGGTTTGGCTGGGGCTTAGCGATTAGCGCCTCTGCAGCGCATTTTGTGTGTGTGTTTGTGTGTGTGTGTGTGTTTGTGTGTGTGCTTTTGTGTGTGTGCTTTTGTGTGTGTGTGCTTTTGTGTGTGTGTGCTTTTGTGTGTGTGTGCTTTTGTGTGTGTGCTTTTGTGTGTGTGTGCTTTTGTGTGTGTGCTTTTGTGTGTGTGCTTTTGTGTGTGTGTGTGTGCTTTTGTGCTTTTGTGTGTGTGTGTGGGTGTGTGCGTGTGTGCGTGTGCGCGTGCGCGTGTGTGCGTGTGTGCGTGTGTGCGTGTGCGTGTGCGTGTGCGTGTGCGTGTGTGCGTGTGCGTGTGTGCGTGTGCGTGTGCGTGTGCGTGTGCGTGTGCGTGTGCGTGTGCGTGTGCGTGTGCGTGTGCGTGTGCGTGTGCGTGTGCGTGTGCGTGTGCGTGTGCGTGTGCGTGTGCGTGTGCGTGTGCGTGTGCGTGTGCGTGTGCGTGTGCGTGTGCGTGTGCGAGTGCGAGTGCGAGTGCGAGTGCGAGTGCGAGTGCGAGTGCGAGTGCGTGTGCGTGTGCGTGTGCGTGTGCGTGTGCGTGTGCGTGTGCGTGTGCGTGTGCGTGTGCGTGCGTGTGCGTGTGCGTGTGCGTGTGCGTGTGCGTGTGCGTGTGCGTGTGCGTGTGCGTGTGCGTGTGCGTGTGCGTGTGCGTGTGCGTGTGCGTGTGCGTGTGCGTGTGCGTGTGCGTGTGCGTGTGCGTGTGCGTGTGCGTGTGCTGGTGCGTGTGCGTGTGCGTGTGCGTGTGCGTGTGCGTGTGCGTGTGCGTGTGCGTGTGCGTGTGCGTGTGCGTGTGCGTGTGCGTGTGCGGTGTGCGTGTGCGTGTGCGTGTGCGTGTGCGTGTGCG